CTCCTCCCCAGGCAGCTTGCTGCCCTGTACAGCCTGGTGTCCCCTGCTGCTCTCAGGCTGCTCTGCAGAAAATCCCTTTCATTCACTGCACTCCAATTTTTATTCTATCAAGAAATCACGTGGTTCTTCTAAACAGCAGGCTTGCAATAAAATCCTGCACCATTGTATTATCCTGATATGACTCCAGGAGGAGGAAAGGGATTTATTTTTATATGATAATCTGTAACGCCTCATTCTCAGCCATAAATGTGTTCATATTGTGCTTTCCTTCATAGAGGCAATAACAGGTGCTTTTGGACCAAACAGTTCTCGGGACTACTCCACTGGGGAGCTCCCCTGAGAGCTACATACCTTTAAGAGCTGTTTTCTGTTTGCATTCACACCGTTAGTAGGAACGCTGAAGTGGTGTAAGCTGGCTGACTGCTAGCCATAAGCTAACATGCAGTGGTTAACACATAGGAACATTTCATTACCGGTAAATGTTTTCTTAATATGTTATTAGTGTTAAGTGCATGATAAGCCACTAACCTGCAGCTGCAGCTCCCTGTGCTGCTGGTGATGGCTGTTGTTTGCTATTGTTTACATGCTAACCCACTTGGTTCAGTGTTTGGGCAATCAATGTACACTTATTTCATTTGGTTCCTATCGTGTTGGGAGAGCACCTGTTCTTACGTAGGAGCTAAAAAGTCCCTCAAAACATGTTCTAGGAACTATTATTGTTCTCCATTCCCACAGTTCTAAGAACTATGAAAATGTTCCTGTGGTCCAAAAGCACCAATATCAGGTGCTGAAGGAACTACAGTTCTTTTTTTAGTGTGGATCAGTGTTTCCTTTTTGTATCCCTTTGCTGACAATATTTTGCAGTGGACTATGCAGGCAAACACTAAAACATTACAGAACATTTTCACACACCCACATCACACCTGCAGCATGCTCCATTTTTCTGATGTTCATCTGTGCCTTCATACACTCTCTTGTTTTTAACAATATGGTACACTCACTCTGTTTCTAACCTCACAGATGATCCTGTTAAGCTTGCAAATAGACATGTGTGTTGGCTTTTGTGCACTCAAAAGGACTGGCTGTCTCTGCTTTCCATCAAAATAACTTTTGTTCACTCAGTTATTACCTCAATAAGCAAAACATTGCATTCAAGTTACTCTAGTTAAATGTCTTGACCAGTGAAAGAGCAAATAATGGGAGCCATAGCTAGCAAAAGTGTGTAAACCAAGCCTCCAAAGAATCCTGGGCTGTTCGTTTGTATTACTGGTCATGTGATGCACACTGATCCAAAAAGGCTTTTTATCTTGTACACAATCATTACAGAAACAGTGGCAATACAGGATTTTGTCTGGCAGAACTTTGTTGCTGAGAAACCCGAATCATTTTTTTCATTTTTCACTGGTGGAAAGTAGCATCCAGGTCTCCATAGTGCAAGCTGAAACATGTCATCCAATGAGCTCTCACATGGGCATGCATGAGAATTGAGATAGAAGATCCCATCTGAAGAGTTTTAATGTCCACAGGACATTGAAATATTTTGGGTGGAATGCACCTTAATCTTTCTATGCAGCCCACAATAGATGCTAGAAACATCGCCATACTGTGCTCTAACACAGCTGTTCATACAGCACTGTCTATGAAGGTCCAAGTTCAGGGATCTCCAACATCCTACTATTGTTTTCAGACATTTTCCTGTCCTGTGCAGGCATGTGACCACTGTGCTTTCAATTCCTGTCTTTGAGCGATGTGGGAGAAACGAGATTGTAGAGCAGGTGTCCATAGGAAGGGGTAGGGTCTAGAAATGTATGGGCTCAAGGTCGTGAATATACAGTAAACTGTCTGCTCACAGTGTGTGATAATCAGTCCAGTCCATCTAAGAAGTGTAATAATATGATTCCACCTTTAGTTCCAAAAAGCCACCGATTGATTATGCTGAACATGGAGGTTTAGAGGGATGTACTGGGCTTAATTGAAGCTGATTTAACAGTTTAGGAGTGTTTACTAATGGGAAACAGTGTTTGCATATACTTCAACTGAACTATAAGAAAAGGTCTGAATTAGTCTTACTTACCCAACTAAAAACAGATTTCTTTTTATAGTAATGGCTACACATATTCCAGTCATAGGCTGTTATAAAGCTATAAAGGATAAATCCATTATTTAAACAAAGAATTTCCCCCTTCATTTTTATGAGTTTGACAATTTCACAGCTGCTTCAGTCTCACGCCCCGTTTCCTCAGTCAGGCCTTTTGTCCGAAGATAACCCCCACCTCTCCTCTCCTCCCTTAAAAAAGCAGATGGCGCCTCTCTAAACAGAAACACATAGAGAATCACACAGTAGGTCTGCCATAGATAATAACTGCATGCTTAATCAAGCACCAACATTAAAGGGTTAACTTGCTCACTCACTTTGAATTAGTTTTATTTTAGGTAGATTACGAAAAACAATCCAGTCAGCGCTGGGAGCACTTGGTTATCCCTAAACACAGTAAAAGTTTAATCAAAAACACAGTTTGAAATGCTAATTTTCTTCTCCAATTAAAGGTCAACTTCAAATGCTTTACCACCCCGAATGCTTTGCTGTGCTAATAGCTGTGTAGTTAAACTGGCAGCAATAAGTCCTCCTTTTATTGGTTAAAATACTGTTTATTAATTCATTCAGAAAATTACCTAGACTTTTAAGTTTATGCTTAATGACTTTGTAGCTGCAAAATCGTTTTGTTTTGAAACTAAGAAAACCAGAGCAGCTGAGCCATAGAAATCTGTGGGTTCAAAGCCTTTTTACATACATGTCAGGATGGTAGGGATGTATGAGGGAGCAGGTGCACTTTCAGAGGCATTGTTATAAGAATATTAATATGAATCTTTAACAGCTGCTTTGAACCAGTAATCATTCTTGAAAACAGTAAAGGCTTGTTGTGTGTCAGACTACTCACTGAGTGTTTTATCTAGGTTGTGCTATAAACACTGGTCTTCGTACTTATTAACTTGGTAGCAAACCAGATCAGAGACCAGTTAGAATGATTTCTTGTTGTAAGGAGTGTAATAATACTGTACAGGACTTGTTTTGATGCTGCTCAGAGTGACAGATAATCATTTACTTTGACTGCAGGCCTACATTCACAGCATTTCTCGTCACAGACCCACAGAGATTGCCCTCTCTTTGAATGAACCACAGCGAATGAGGCCACTCATGGAGCTGGGGATGCTTGTGGAATAATTCTCCAATTGCTCATGGTTTCTCAGAGGGAATGGTACACTTCTGGTGTGCGTGACCTATTTTTCTAAATCCATCTGTCAAATGCAGAGCTGCAGCTGGTGGCTCAGAGTTCCTGTTTGTAAAAGAGGGTTTTTCAAAAGTCTTCCCTGTCGCTCATGCACGTTGGTGCCACATTTTTCTGGGGCATTACTCTTGTCTCGCCTGCTTTAGCACGGTTTCTCTCTGTTAAAGAAAAACAAAACATTGCGAACAGGGAACATAGCTGCATGTCTGGGAACACAAGACATTCTTGACGTGACTGATGTAGCAAAGCGATGTTTCTCTATGAGCTTTGGTTCAGTAAAAACCGAGCCTTAAGCCCTCAGAGCTGGGAGGGAGAGGGAGGCCCCTGGATAAAGGGGAGGGCTGGAACAAGAGTTAACCACAGAGTGAAGCATGCTGCTCGAGGCTGAGGCCAGGCGGCGTGACATCACAGGGAGACAGCTCCCCTTCACATTACTTCTTCCCCAACAGTCACAGCCTGTATACAGCATATCCATGAGGACGGCTTGGCTGACAAAATTACACCATCGACAGCATGAAAACACAATGTGTGTCACTGCTGGGGTTTCACAATTCACTCAGTACTCTGCCTGCAGTGTCACCGCCATGGCTCAGTTATGTATGAAGTCCACCCTCAGTCCTCATTTTTAGGAACTATTACTTGCAATGACTGATGTTGTAACTAAAGAATGTTACGACATGCAGTAATTGACATTTGAAGTTCATTTTTCTGTTGCTGCTTTCAGTTGCATTTCTCTGCAGCCCTGGTGAAGATGCATAAAACGCAGTCTTTTTGAGCAGAGAAAAGGCCTGAATGACCTGGCCAAATAAATTAGACAGTACATAATAATAATGTTAGATTGTGTGTTCCTGTTGGAATTTAAATGAAGGAATCAAGCATTTATTAAACAAACCTAACAGTAGGAAACACAAACTTTTATTTTGTCATCATACATCTTTGTCACCCACACAGGAATGAAACCGTGCTTCCTGTGCTGCAATGTTAAGTTGTCATTCAATTCTACTGCTGTAGAACTTGACTCAGGAACTGAGTCAACATCATTGCTGCTGAAGACTGCACTACAAAGAGGAATCAGGTTTCTCTCCTGGGTTTCCACGGGATCTGTAGTCTGCCTGCTATAGCGTCAGGTTTCTACTGCTTGCTCCACAAAGAGGAGTGCATTAGCTTCTCATTATATTAGCTTGATTTCACTGTACATCCACAGTGTAGACACTTATGAAAGGTCATATACACAGGTCATCTTACTGGCTTGGCAGGGAGCCTCACTGGTCAGTCTCAGTCTCAGCTAAAGGCTTTATGATGCTGCTGGGAAACAACAGTCCCACAGATGTTTCTGGAGCCTCCTCTTTACATTTCTGTTTGTTGTAGTGTGTTATTAATCACTATGAATATATTTATCTTCAGTCAGTCAATACCAAAAACCTTAATTTGAACAAGCCAAGCATTGTAACACAGGGTTTGCAGAAATATGGCCTCAATTTTGAGAAACCACATTAACAGTACTAAAGTAAGAACCAGTCAAATGTTACCAAGGATTCTCCATATCTTTTAAAAGAATGATCCTGTTTCAAAATGCAGAAGCATTCTTTCAAGCACAATAATGTTACGCTTCTACATTGCACACAGTTTTTGACTAGGGAATGGTGTGTATTGTTCTGACATACAAACTGTTGACTCATACCATTTTTTGTTTTGTTTTGTTTTAATGCACAGAGATCCGCAACCAGCTGGTGGAACAGTTCAAATGCTTGGAGCAGCAGTCTGAGTCTCGGATCCAGTTGCTGCAGGACCTGCAGGATTTCTTCCGCCGCAAAGCAGAGATCGAAATGGAATACTCCCGCAGCTTGGAGAAACTAGCCGAGAGGTTCTCCTCCAAGATCCGCAGCTCCAGGGAACATCAACAATTCAAGTGAGTGTCCCTTCTTGTTGCTTGTACAATGAGGTGTTGTGTTATTGTTGTTTGAAAGCATTTTCATATTTGCTATGTACTCACCTGTTTTTTGTTAGTTTGCTTAAATGTATTTTTGTAAAGCTACTGTTCCTTTTCCCATGTGTACCTAGAACACCGGGATCTGTATGGTGACTTTATCCCATCTAAACAGTTTCCTGATTATAGCCTGACTGTAAGACCCAGCCCCGGTTCTAATCACAGTGTGTTATTTGATTACAGTGCAGAACTATGCAACAAAATACTCTACTGTGTGTGTTCTGTAAGGGAGTATTTATCAATGTCAAGATCTTTATAATGTCTTCTAATGTTGAATGGTTTGAGAATGATGATGTGGATGCAGTTCATTAAAGAAGACTGTTAAACACTACTGAGTGGTGGACATAAATTCAGTGCACTCTTGGTGCTGTAATTTAGCACTCTATAAAAGAATGCTTTGACTGAGGCTTTATGCTTCATTATGTTTTAAATTACAGCACTTATGTACAAATGTGGTGAACTTTGCAAAAGCTCTGCATCAGGCAGAAACCTGTGACTTGCATCTGCATCAATGTGGAGGTTGATATTAAATTAAAAGCTATGTAATTTATCAAAGATAGAGACCTATTAGCAAAAAGAGAACAGCTACCACTTTTGGTAGTAAATAGACATAATACAGTTAATAGTAAAAAAAACCTGTTCAGAATAAGTAGCAGTAATAATACAAAGTGGCAACAAAGTCAGACTGTGATGATACAAGTTATTGCACATGTACATATTATTGCACTGAAATTATTGCAAATGACTGAACCAAAATATTGACATGAAAATCTATATGGAGAAACCAGTTTGATACTCCAAGTGTCTAACGCTCAGAGGGAGGAGTTATATAATTTGATGGTCACAGGCAGAAATGATTTTCTGTGGCGCTCTGTGGTGCATCATGGTTGTATGAGTCTGTCGCTGAACAGACTGACCAGCATGTTAAGGAGTGGGCGGGTGGAACGTATTTTGGACAGCATCTTCCCCTCTGATACTGTCGTTAGAGAATCCTCCACAACATCACTGGCCTTGTGGATCAGTTTGTCGGTGTTATTTTACATTTAATATTTTCTTGAAAAGGAATGTGTGTGTGTGTGTGTTAAGAGAATTATAAAACCAGTGGCCAAGTATAAAGGCAAAAGGACAAATGAATAGAGCTAGGGAAGGTCACCGGGAATAAGGAAGGTCATTAAATGTCATCTGATCAAAAACAGTTTGTAGCCTTGACCCATTTAGATTTGCAGTAATGAAATATATGCTTGTGAAAAAAAGAGGGCTCATCTACACAGAAACCACCACTAACACATTGGTATGTGAGCCACATGGGGCATGAAATTGAGCGTTGTCGCTTGCAGGGTCAAGTACCTCTGGCAAGCAAGCAAGCTTTAGTTCAGTGTGTGAAACAGGAGCTCTGACCCAGCTGTGATCTCAGGCATGAATCTACACCAGCAGACACTGTGTGTGTCTAGTCCCAACTCTGGTGCTCGCAAATGGAAACAGCAGGACTGCATTCCAAACATTTTCACATTGTAGTGTGGTATGAAGAGGTTGGTTTTACTGATCTGCTGTATAGTAATTTTATTATATCAGATGTTCACAGACGCCCCCCCCCCACCACCACCACAAAAAAAGATTATTATTATAGAAAAATAGAAACACCCAGTTGTTTAGGTGGTTCATTAAGTACAGTAAATAGAACAGCATAACGTGCACTGTATTGGGCAATACTTTCAAATTCTCATTTTGACAGCATGGACAATGTAAGCAGCAATGTAAACTTCCCTCAGGTTCAAATTCTCTCTTTGTCAAACGCTGCTTATTAACCACCCAACAGCGATACCCTGCTCTACCTGCCTCTCTGAAATGCCACCATGTACCCATGGCCATCCAAACCTAGTTTAAAGTCTGGGGACATGACTGTCAGACTTTGGCACCGTGGCTCATGTTCTGCTGTTAATTTGTAAAGAAAACATCACTAGCAGCAAATTGCATGTATTTTTATTTCAGTTAGATAATTTGGTATTCATATAGAAGCATATGGTATGTAGGCCTACTGTGTGAGAGCAGTGTGTATGTGTGTGTGTGTGTGAATTGGATAAGAATTTGATTGCATAATTGAGTCCAGCTGTTTTAGAGGAGGCATGCTTCATGTGTAAGAACTTGGCTGGGGGCTGGGAGGAGACAGAACTGTGCTGCTGCGACACAAGTCAGTCAGTTTATCAGCTTCTTGTGAAGCCACAAAAAGGCTCATAACATGATTGCAACTTGTGCTTGTGGACTGTGCAGTTGATCTTATCTACACAGTGAGAGATGGGTGTTTGAAAAAAACAACTAGTCCTCAAACACAACTTCTAATAATATAACACCAATGCCAAGATCATGGTGGACTAAACAACCAGATGTGGGCCAACAAGTGTCTCAATCCAGTGTCAAAGGTCTCACACACACATACACATATGTTTGTAGAGCTATATTTGTGAGGACACTCACTGGCATAACACATTCCTTAGCCCCTAACTCGAACTGTAATTATGCAACTAAATGTCTAACACCCAACCTTTACCCTAAACCATTTCTAACTGCACTTTCCCAAAATGTCCCCACTCCCATGGTATAAGACGATTGACCACACCCAACCTCCCAAACATCTGGTCCTCCAGAGGAAGGCCAAGTCCCCACCATGTGAGCTGGTTAACAGCTTTCAGTCCTCACAATATCAGTAATACCAGGCATAACAATAAGATACTCTATGACACTTGTATACACTGCCTTTTTATGCATGCCCCTGCATACTGATCTTTTTTTTTAACTCTATTAATTCAGCATCATGTGTAACAATGTGAAACAAGTCAACAGTACATACTAAAGAGCCTAAATGAAGCACTAAGATGCCACAGAGGAAGTGCAGAGTGGGAGGCTACTACCCATGTTTGACACGTACAGAGGATGTAATACTGAGTCACACTGAAAGTCTGTGTTACATGACATTCATACCCCACATCTCACTGACCACTTGATTCCCTGAAGTCAGTTTATCAGCTTCTTGTGAAGCCACAAAAAGGCTCATAAAATGATTGCAACTTGTGCTATAGTACACTCCTGATCTGAGCAGGTGGGCAACCACAAGTCCTGGTATTCAGCTGTGACATCAACTTCATAACAAGCTACCAAAATACCAAATGGGCTTAGTGAAGAAAAACACTGTCTAATAAAAACATTAATCTTGCATAACGCCCGACCATGTACTCTGCTCTACCAAAAACACAGAAAACAAAAACATTTTAAGGCCTGAAGCCTGAAGCTCTGTATTTTTTGCACATAGCTAGTTGCATATGATTTTATCTTTGTTATTTATTACCAGGTATTTTACAGATTCAAAAAAGGTGAACTGTTCTTCTCCTGACAGCCCTTAACATGCCTGTGGCTGTCTTTCATTGCAGTTAAAGCTGTGATCTATAAACTCAGAGGAGTACTTCAGAAGCAGCCTGGTGTCTTTCACCTACTTAATGCCTTGATGTTTTTTGAGGAACATCAAAACAGAGCAGTGAAATAGTTATCCTGACCAGGACAGACTTCCATATGTGCTGGATCACAGCCTACAGTCTTTTGGCTGAACCTTTCAGTGCAGATTCATTAGCAAGCTGAATGCCACGGTGATTTAGAGCTACTGCAGCTAAAGCTACACCGCAACAGCCCGACTAGGGCCCATTTTGCTCTTCCACTTTATCTCATTTGCCACAATGAAGAGAAACATTAACTTGGCTGCTCTGTACTGCAATTGCTGTGCCACATAGGGCACCGTTTCCTTTCTCTTACTGGTTCATGGTTCCTAAAACACAGTAGCTAACTTAATTTAATTATGGCACAGATGTTTCAGGGCATATGATGAATGGGCTTTATCATGTACCCCATCAAATTAGAGTGGATTGGTATCATCTGTCATTCAGACATATTTAGATGTAACATAGCACCATTAGTAAGGCAACTCATGCAACATTGATGTAGAGAACGACCTGTCTGGGAGAAATAAGACAGAACTATGTGTATGTGTGTGTATATTTGTGTTTATCTCTGTGTGTCTATGTAGCCAATGATTTGTTTAGGAGAAGCCAGATTTCTGACATGCCAGAAATCCATCCGAGTGGTTGGGAAGCAGCTCGTTGGTTGTTTGGGTCAAAAAATGGGACCGGAACCCTGTTCCAACTGTACTTCAAATGACAACTGATCGGGCTGAGATTCAGCCAGACTCTAAAAGTAATGAGGTGCCACTGAATCAGGTCTAAAATTGGGCTGAATCTGTACAGTGTCTGCTCGGTTTAAGTGTCAGCCTTGATTTGATTTTGATTTGATTTGATTTATTCATTCAAGCATGTAAAACAGTTGATATGTCATCACATGTAATTTCACACATATCCAACAATAATAATCCACTATCAATTTACTTATACCTAGTACATGCTTGAACGGACTAGGAAGAAGTTAGACTTATCTAGTCCTACCCCATGACATCATCTTACAACTTTTAAGTCTTAAGCAATATCTCTAGATAAATAATTATCCTCTACACCACACAAGTAATATACTACAGAATTATTACAGTGTTAACATTCTACATAATTACATTCATAGATAATTATCTTCTACGCCACACAAGTAATATACTAAAGAATTATTACAGAGTGCTAACATTCTTACCCCACACCCACAATGTTCCATCTGATTAATCATTAAACCTGTTCTTGCATGTATCTTGATTGAAACATACCTTCATACTTATGTTTGAAGTCATCAATTCTAGTACTGTTTTTTATGTCCACATTTAAATTATTCCATAGTTTTACACCACTTATGGAAATACAGAATCTTTTTTTGGTTGTACGTATAGCATGAAT